CCGGTATGATAACCACCAAGGAGAACAGCAATCATGTACAAGATGTTCCACATCGAGGTGTAGCATCGAGCAAAACACCAACATGTTTGCTCGATGCATAATGGCCGATCCAGAAACAAGAATCCAGACGGTGCCATGCATTGCCCACAGGAAGGATCATGCAAGCCGAAGTGTCTCCCTAGCAACAACATCGAGCAGAACATATACTGAGACTGCTCGATGCAAGGTGCCATGAAGGAGAAGCTGACCAGAACACAGAACCCCCGAGGCAGCAGAGCATCATCGCTGAGCCACAGGACCCGACATCCCTGATATGGTACACATCGAGGTACCACATCGAGTGTTTTGCTCGATATGATCCGTGTAAGAATTTTTTGAAATATTTACATGGGTAAATCAGGTAAAACCTTTTTTTGGACCTTGATGGATGGTACTATGTCGAACACCAGAGGAGATGAGGGGATTTCTGACTCAAATATTGCTGCAAGAAACAGAGCTGAGGGAAAAAAGGCAGTAGTTGATGAAGAACCAGTCCAAGATACAGCACCAAAGCTGAAGGACTACTTGAGAGCGATGAGGAGAGTGGATTTCACTCCCACAAGATATGCTGATCCTGTTCTATTGGAAGATCTAGGAATCAAGACTGAAGTGGATAAGCTGTTGAGCAACATTGGACTGGAGAAATTTGCTAGTCTTGGCTATCCAACTTACAAGCAACTTTCTTGTGAGTTCCTTGCAAGCTTCAAGGTCTACTTCTACAAGTTTAATGAAGATTATGATGAAGGAGAAGAAGACTTTGGCAATGGATTCATCAAGTTCAGAGCCAACAGAGCATGGTACACCATGGGGTTCACTCAGCTTGAAGAAATCTTTGGATTTGATTAAGGCTCAAGAGCACAAAACATGCGCTTCAAGCATGATGAGCTAAGGCATGTATGGGAAGAAATAGCGAATGATGCTAATAGAGCTGGTCCTCTGAAGAGTGCTAGCATCCGCCATCCAGCTATCAGATATGTTCATAGAGTTCTCACCAGCACACTCTTATACAGAAAAGAGCAACGTATGGTCAAAGAAGAAGAGATGGGGTTGCTTGTGAATGGCTTGAAGAACATTATGGTTGAAACAAGGCATGGGAAGATCTAAGGAGAGCGCTTAGGAGTTGGTCTTGTGACAATCCTAATGAAGCAATTTCTAGCATGCCAGCAATGGGCTTTCAACACCAGAGACAAAAAGCCAAAGATAGCCATTGGAGGTGTGATCACTCCCATCTTACTTGGTGTTGGAGTTGAGCTTGGTACACCAGATGTTACAATGATCTTCCTAGATGTCCCTTATCTCAGTAAGATCGGATACCTTTCAGGAGCTGTTGAGACAGGATTTGGCTATCATTTTGAGTTGGAAATCAGGAAGAGGAAGATCATCTTGCCCAAGCAGCGCTTAACCAACTTCACATCTTATGAGAACATCCGATTCATGCTAACACAAGATGAGCTTTATGACCCAAGGACTGACCCACCATTGATGAGGCCAAGCAAAGTGAAGAACATGAGCACCATCAGAGACTTAGATGTGGAAGAAGACTTTGAAGAGCGGTATCAAGAACAAGAGGTTCAGCATCAAGGGATGGAAGAGGAAGAACATGAGGACTATGATAGCCGCCCTTATGCACTTGACCCATATGATGTGATCTGCACATCTGAAGCTTCAAAGACTGTACATGAGTACATTAGGCTTCTTCAAAGATGGAACCAATTCCAGGACAAAGCCATCAGAGGGTTGCTGAAGACGGCCAAAGCAAGCAAGAAGTCGGTTGACTCATTGAAGAAGAAGGTGAGGAAGCTCAAGAAGAAGTTGGGAGGATCTTCATCAGCCAAGAGATCTGATCAAGCGGTCCAAACAGAGCCACAAGGAGGAGGATCTGATGCTGAAGACATGTCTGAGGATACACCAGAGAGGGCAGTCCAAGAGAGACACTCATTCCACATCAGTGAGCGGCCAAGAACACAAGGTCCACAACCGGCCAGGCATTCATCTCATGTAGCTGCTCCAAGGAGAAAAGAAAAGAAGAGAAGCATTAGACAGCAAACTCCATAAGAGGAGGAGCTTCACCTTCCCATGCCATTGAGAGTTCAGACTCTCAACACTCCTCCACCTGAAGTAAGGTACACCACACTAACCATTGTAAATACCACTCATTTTTTTTTAATTATTGCGATTGTTTGTTTGATGTTTGTGAACATTCTCCTTAGCATATTATTACACAGGCACTGTGTAATTTTAATGTGGGGGAGGTTGTATGATGGACTGATTCTTTCATTTGCATTTGCATAGTAGAATAGGAACCATGCATCATGATTACATAGCATCTAAGGCATAAAAAAAACCAAAAACAAAATTGAAATTTTTTCAAAAATTGCTTCACAAAAAGAGTTTGATTTTCATGCATTCTTATAGGATTTAGACTTCATGCATTCATATTGGACTAGCTTGCTTGTTTAAATTGGAAACTATGATAGTACATCTTTGTTAATGCTAGTGATGTATGAAAATGAAGTCTTTGTTTTTAGTCCTTTAGTGCATTTGATGTTGAAGTAGAAATAAAGCTGAACCACTTTTGAAATTTGAATTTGTGTGAGCTTTGTTTGAGACTGAAGCATGCTTTGAAATGATTTCAACCTTTGTTTAAGTGGAACCTAATTTGAATTCGCAATTATCATGCCTTATGCTTATGTGATTGATATCATGGATAGTTTAAAAGATTTGGATCTTCTTATTCTCTTTTTCCATTCTCTAAAAGATCCATTTAGATTTTCCCACCCTTAACTAAACCTTCTTTCAAGCCAAGACATTAATAATGTGTGATTTATGAGGCCTCTTCCATCATGGTTGTTGCTTAGCAAAAAGTGTTGGGTTGGAACTACAAGGGAAGTACTTCCATTGTAGAACTAGCTCGCTCTTGAGTTAGATAGGTTAAGAAGTTTTTGGGGAATGGTCTGGGGTTATCTTGGATTTAGTTTTTAAGAGAGGCAAAGAAGAAAAGAAGTCAAGGCACAAAGAAAAAGGAGTGTGACACAAGCAAAATGGTGGAAATGGCGATTTTAAACTCAAAAAAAGAAGGCTCATGTTCAAAGAAGAAAAGAAGATGCAAGAAGTGCAAAACTAGTAAATCAAAAAGCCAAAGGCGAATCAATCACCAGCATCACCAAATAAAGGAGCTAAGATCAAAAGAAGCAAATCACCACCGCTTGAAGATCAAAAGAAGAAGTATCCTCCAAAGCGCTTGAAGAAGAAATTTTTTGGGTTTTAAAAAGGGTTTAAGTTCTTAAAAAGGGTAGCATAAGAGGGTCTTACACTGCTTAGCTAGAGTTAGGAACACATCTTATAGATCTTGGGTAGATGGGAGTCTTCCTTTGTATGTGTAAGTTGTACTTTGACCCTAAGCATTTTGCCAAAGCACAACCATGCTTTTCTTTGAGAGAACCCTTTAAACACCAAAACCAGTTTGTGAAGTGGGATCATTTTTATTCCACTAAGCCTTGTCCCTTAGCCAAATGACACTTTCACATTTGCATAAGCATGATTCACGGGTTGAGCATAATTGAATGTCAAAAAGGTTATCATGTTTTGCATTTTAAACTCATCTAGTTATGTTTAACTCCAAATCAATGGGATTAAACATGATTAGTGAGTAGTCTTCCTTAGATTTAGGGTTCTAAGTAGGGAAAGTGGTGATTAGGCTTGTTTAATGGTTCGCTGTTATCTCTTTCTCTTGCAAAGTGATTTATGTTGATAAAGCTTGCTCCTTTTGATTGATTTTGGTTTGATAGATGCATATGGTTCACTTGATGTCTTGATATCTCTTCTCTAAGTACAGTTCACTTATTTGGTTTGATAGTCTAGCTTGGTCTATGTTTCCTTTGTTCAGTGACACCAAAGTGATTCTTGACTTGATGGTTAGATAGTATGCATTGAAAGATCTTGCTTTTGCTTCATTCTTGTTCATTGCTTAGCTTTGTTGGGGTGTTGCAGGTTTGTGCTTAAATCTATAATCTTGATCGGTGCATAGCTACTTAGGTCCTTATTGGTTCACAAGATTAATAAGTTGATCTGAATTCTTGCTTGGGTGAGAGAGTACTTGCTTGATTGGTGCATCTCTTAGGCTAGAATGGCTCTGATCTTTATGCTCTTGGTTGAAGGATACGCCATCACAAGTGGGTCTGACATTTCAATCTTGTTGAATATGAATTGCTTATTGACGCTAAGTGGTTCCAATTAGATACCTTGTCTATGAGCATAACACTGAGAATTGCTTGCTTGTTAATGCTTGTTGAATGCCTTAGTAGAAATCTCTTTGTCACTCTTGAAAGCCACAATCCCACAATTGCTTAGAACCTTGAGTCTTGCTTTTAATTAATTGTCTTCAAAGTCATCTTTCTTAGTTCTTGCTTTAGTAGTCATTTCTTGCTTAAATTCCTGTTTAGTCATTGCTTTAAGTTCATTGTTCAGTTTTGTTCACTTGCATTAAGTTTATGCTTTTCTTTCATTGCACCATTAGGTTGTTAAACTTGTACTCACGTAATCAAACCCCAATCTTGCTTAGCTTACAGCATTATTTGCATCTCATCTCCCACAATTGGATTGATACCTGATCTCTATTCTACAACTGCTTAGAAGCTAAGAAATTCGATGTAGTGACCAAAAAACTGCTCTTTCATTATACATTTTATTCCTATTATTCTTCTAATAGTCACCAGTTAGGGTCAAAGTGTACACTAATGCGTTTAAGTTTTAATTTTAGTTTTATGCTTTGGTACTTAATTTCTTATAAGAGAAAATCAATTTAGTCTTAGATAAATAATTTTACTGAATTTGGTCAAATCAAATCAATTTAGTAATATGTATTTTAACAGAATTTGGTAAAACAATTAATTTTGATAAATATTTGACTAAACTTATACCATTTTTTCTAACTATAAAATGGTTCAACCATAGCTATAATAAACCTCAATTACATTTCTATCATTTTTTGTAATATTTTTTTTTAAGTATTGACATAATTTTTTTGAAAGACTATAACAATGGAGAAAATATCAATGAAGTTTGTTTTTGTTATCTTCTTAGCTGGTAATATTTTCTATTTCATATATGAAAAAAAATCTACAAGCATACTTAGAGATTAAAGATATATTATATATTTCAATCTAAATAGGTATAGAAATTAGATTATGTAATGATGGTTATATCATGTTATTTATAACAAAACTGTTTGGTTTTGCAGTAATGTCAACAGTTACAAATGTTGAAGCAAAACGTTTACTCCCTGAAGAAGCTCCTCAATTTGTGTTTCATCATGATGATTCATTGCAGACAGTAAAACCACCAACACAATTACAAGAGGCGAGTTGCAAGCCAAAATGTGTACAATGTGTTGTCACCGAACCTTTTGCTCATAGTGTATGCTGATTTCTAATACTATCTTAATAGAATAATAAAATACATATATTTAACTCTATATTCTATTTGATATTTGTGCGTTTATTTTATTATATAAATTTAAATACATCAAAATTAGTAATTTATATGATTATGGCACAAGACATTCATTTTAATTCTGATCTTGTCACTTGTTCAAAAAATTCAACTAATTAAATTTTAGCTTAATTGGATTAAGAAAACTATATGATCGATTACTAATAAAGAAAAAGAATTAAAAATTAAAAAGTTTGGTAAGAAATTAAGAAAATAAAAAAATTAAATTCAGGGTTTTTAAAAATGAAAATTTATTTTTCAATTAAATTAAAAATATTGTATAAGTAAAAGAAAGATAATATATACATTTAAAAGAGCAAAACAATCAAATATGATAAAAAAAAAATCTAATTAAGATAGAAATTTTATATTATAAATTTTGATGCGTTAAATATACTAATTATAATGATCATCGCACATATCGAGTTAATCAAATTATTTATTATACAAGCATTTTTTACCTTATGCATAATATGAATTCTTGACTTCTCGTTTTATAATTATTAACTAGAATATTTCTGCGTAGATTTTTTTTTAAATATATTATTTTTATATCATAAAAAATATTTTATTATTAATTATTATTAACATGGAAAGATATAAATTTGTATTAGACTTTTTTATTTACTTTTCCATAACAATCGGATTATTTTGGTATAGAACCAAATAAATATAAAACTTTTATGAAGACAATAAATATGGCATCTCATAGAGTACATATATTTTTCTAAAGATAACATGATGCTATAGTTGTAAAAAAAAGGTTTTTAAGTATTCTTTCACCTTTCATGTTAATTTAAAATCATTATCAGAAGCAAAGCATCATGTAACTATATATATACAAATATAAAAGATTTTGGTCTTCCATCAAATTAATTTATTCGATAACAAAATTATAAGATCAATCTATAAGATTTAATGTATTTGTTGCTAGGATAAAATATTTCACTGCTACATATTCCATATTTTTGCATTTACTATTATTAACTAGGTTTGTATCCGCGTTATGGGCAGATTATGTGTATATTTAATAATATAATCAAAATTTATAATAATATATATTAATTAAAAATTATTAATATTATAAATATAATTTAAAATACTAGATAGAAAACTATAAAACAGTCTAAAATTTTAGATAAAAAATTACAAAAATATAATACAATGACATTTAATAAAATATAATAAAATAGATAGCAAAATATTAATTTTTTATAAACATATGTAATAAAATAAATATATATTTTATTATATTATTGTAAAATAAACTTGTTTTTTTACTGTTTATCTAATTCAGTATTATTTAACAATTTATATCAAATACAAGTGTATTCAATAGTTAAAAATATATGAGAACAAATATCAAACTAAATCTGATAAGCAGATAGGAAAACAAAAACACCTAAAATAAAAATATAAATTATGAAACAAACGAACATAAATTTCAATACATGTTATTCATGGTAACCATCTAAATATTCCGAAACACTTCTTTATAGACAATATTCAGAGTTTTCTGTTGTGGTTAGTTATATTTATGAGTTATTAAAATCTTTAACCCTACCATGGATGTTACTCTTGAAACTGCTACATATAACTGTCCATATTTAAATACTGGTATTGGCAAAAAAACCTCCACTTTTGCAAATGTTTGACCTTGACTTGTTTATCGTCATTGCAAAAGCCAAAGTGATTGATTTGTTTTTTTTTTTGCGTATCAATCTGAAAGGAAGCTTTATTTCTGTTAAAGACATAAAAATTTGAAGTAAAGAGAGAAAAAGCCTTGTTTTGTTAGACTCAATAATAAAATTAACCATCTGAGTAATAAGCAACATGAGCTCATGAGTTATGAGTTTTGTTTGATCAATCTTCTTCTTCGTATTCTTTGTTTTATCCAAATTCTTATTCTTTTGTTTGTTCTTCGTATTTTTCCTCAACTTTACCAAGTTACTTTTCAACTTCTTCATATCTTTATCCTCCATCTTCTTCTTTACTATTTTGTATTACCCGTTGTTTTTCAGTCGGGTTCTATTCGACCTCATCAGCTTTGTTTTATTATTTGTCTTTTGATATATCTTTTTCAATGTCTTTCTTCAATGTATCGTTTAACATATTTTGTGGGGTACCATTTATATGAAAAAAAAATGCAGTTGTATGATAAAAAATATGGATGCATGGTAAAATCTAGAACTATAACGTACATATTAAAAAATAAAAATTTAGAATGGGTAGCTAATGGAAAAACAAAACAAAATGAGATTGAGGAACCGCGAACTGTGATAGTCCACATTTGGGATTAGCTTTAATTTCTAAAAAAAAAAATTTAAAATGAAAAATCAGTAGATGTGTTATGGATCACAATTCGATTTAGGCTAATCAGAACAACTACAAAATTATGATCACATATTTAAGGCTTATCGTATCTAAAAAAATAAACTTAAACCAACACAAAAAAAAGAGAAACCAAATAAACACAAATATCATGATTTAGATGAAAATAAAAATATTGACGTCTCTTCAAAAGCCATGTTATTCACAAACCAATTCTATGATCAATATTACTAAATAACATTATGGTGTACCAACTTTCGAATGCAACTGATGGTTTGGCAACCTAGACACCTTGATGAAATTTAAGAAATTAATCAATATAAATCATATTACCAGAGTTTTTTTTCATATGACGACTCTGAATTTAGCGATGGAAGTTTAGATGCATTTTTACTATCAGGCTCTCTATCAGTTGTGTCGATACGATCACAACTTACATAAACCCTCTCCACAGCTGATAATTTAAAATAGTTGTTAATATACATATCAAATATTAAAAAACCACGACTAGGTGGTAAACATAGTTGAAGGATCGTATATCGTAAATATTTACTTGGTAACTGTGATAACATATAGTTATTTATTACTTCAACATCATCATTCTTTGAACTTATTATAGCTCTTTCCTAATAGAAAGTGGGATTTATCTTCTCAGGAAACGATTGCCCATAACAATTGCATGAATAGGATTTTCACAATCTATGATCAACAAATCTTATGGAATGTCAATTTCTGATATTCTAAGGCTATTCAAATTTACCTTTCCATCACCAATATCTAATATTCATCATGAGAATTCTGCAAACTAAGCATCTTCTTACTATTATCTCTGGGTATAAGCCGCATATTCTTAGTAAGTCTTAACACTTTGCAGTCATTCCAAAGAGTTGATGAAATTAAAGTGGCAATGACTAATTCTACTCTTTCAGCATTAGGGATAACTGAAAAAAAATTATCTGAAATCTCCGCCAAATATGATAACCTTGCCACCGAATGGTTTATCACATTTGAGGATATCATGCAATGCCTTATCCAGAGTTTCAAAGCAATCTTTGTTATTTATCAACGCTTCGTCCTATATTATAAGTTTTGTCTTCTTAATCAACCCTGCTAAATTAGAATCAGCTTTAATGGAATACGCTGTGTACTTGTTGACAACGATAGGTATCCCAAACCTGGAATGAGCAGTCTGACCTCCTTGCAATAGTAATGCAGCAATACTACTCGAGGAAACATTGAGGACAATTAATCCCTTAGACTGGAGCACTACCAAGTAAACTTCATAAATATGATTTGCCAATACAACCGGATCCAAAAACAAAGAACATCCCTCTGATGTCATTATGAACAGAAGTTAAGATTTCATCAGAAATCCCTCTTTGCTCATTTGTTATAGTTGTTAGGATCTCATCACAAATCCCTCTTCGCTCATTTGTTATAGTTGCCAACAACTCGTCATGTTTACGATGCAAAACATCATGGTCGTAACTTTGCTCATCACGAATAAGTAGGTGCGTCTCCATTACAATATCTGAAAATGGCATAGGTGAAAAATTTGCCAGCAAGCTCCCACTGATACGTAAAAAGCTGCTCTATTTCTACCAAAACATAATTTATCAATTGATTAGTGGAAAATGTCAATTATACATGAAGTTGCATAGTCAAGAGTTAGTATATTATACAATAAGAAACCTAAAATAGTATAAATGTAAACCATATAATTCATGTAGACCTTGATTATCTGTCACATTCCTCTACTGATAAAAAAACATTTTCTGCTAAGATGTCCCAAATTGCATCACAAACCCTCAATGGTATTGCAATACAATTTGTAATCAGTATGATCATAAATAGTCTACGTATATATCTTGTAGAACTAAGTATATCAGCCTCATGAATAATATCAATATATTCTTTATCATCATCCAACAAACCATATGCAAAGCATGCCTCTTTGAATGTTTTATATTAAAAATATTTTACGGATTTTATATCATCAAAATTTGATGCACGAGCTTTGTGTTTATTCTTATTTTTATTATAAATAATACAATTAAAATTTACAATAATATAACATTGATGGCAATAAGACCTTTTGAACGTTAGCAGTACCAAGTAAGCTCCCTAAATACGTTATCCAATACTTGTAGAATTCCAAAAAAAAATAATAGATTTCTAGTATAGATATGTATAATAGTGTGAATCTCATCAAAAATTCACATTTGTTCATATGTCATAGTTGTCAATAACTCATCATATTTATCACGCAAAACATCATGATCGTAAATATTCTCATCACGAATAAATTTTTTTTATCATAATAACAAAACATTGGTTATTTAAAACTTCTTCTTATTCTTCTTCTTCCTCATCATTTCCAACTTCTTTTTCATCAAATTCATCTTCATCTTTTTCTCGTTTTTATATTTTGATTTTGATTATCTCCATCTTCTATTTCATCTTCTTAATCTTCTTCTTTCTTTTTATCAAATTGTCTTCTTCGACTTCATACCAACTTTTATTTGTTTTTATCTTTTTTTTCTACTTTGACTTCTATATCTTAAGGTTTTCCTCTTCTTCTCTCACATCTTCCTTTTTTCTTA